TTAAAAGATATTGCTGACCTACATGTGGAGCCTAAGATAATCAAACTTATAGGAGACATTACTTTGAAATACTGGGGTTAGCTGGGTATAGGGGCACATACTTTTAATCCCAGCACTTGGGAGGCAGAGGCAGGTGGATCTCTGTGAGATGGAGGCCAGCCTGGTCTACAGAGTGAGCACCAGGACAGCCAGAGCTACACAGTGAGACATTGTCTCAAAAAAATGCCACTACTACTACTACTACTACTACTAATATTAATAATCAACAATAATAAATACATAAAATAAAATGCTGCTGCTGACTAAGAATTCACTGAGGATATAGCCCTGAGGCTAGGTCTTCTAAGAGGGAGAACTGGAAGGATTTGGAAGGAAAATGGATGTTTGTGGAACGAGAGAACAAGAACGGCGACCTGATGTCTCCACCCATTCTTAAGAGCAAGCGGAGAAGCATAGAAATGATGAGGTGATAAAGAGAGCCATGAGTTCAGCAGGCAGAACACTTGAAGTGTCAGCATGTGGTCCGGGCGGACGCCATGGCCCTGCAATGCGTAGGGTTATTTTTTTTTAACAACAGGTAATTAATTCACTGCCGGGTCATAGAATGACCGCAGGTGGATTGTCTCATCAAGACGCAGGACATAGAATGAATAAAAGTTGAAGACAATTTGGGAAAAACATCAAAACTTATGTATTGATAAAAGAAGTAGACGTAAGAAAATAAGATATGTTGGTGCCAAAAAATACTTCAGAAAAACCAAATTAAGTGGTTTTGACTACTGCCTAGATCTAGCACATCAGGAAATCTCACAAACTTCATCTTCAGATTATATCCAGAATTTAATCATTTCTCAACTCCTTTCCTCTAGGGCAGTGGTTCTCAACCTTCCTAATGCTGAGACCCTTTAATACAGTTCCTCATGTTGTGGTGGCCCCCAACCATAACATTATTGTGTTGCTACTTCAGAACTGTAATTTTGCTACTGTTATGAATTGTAATGTAAATATCTGACATGCAGGATGTCTGATACAAGGGGTCGTGACCCACAGGTTGAGAACCACTGCTCTGGGTTCAGGTCCCTGACTTAAGCCACCACCAGGCCTCACCATCACTGCTGTCATCATCAGGCCTTCCTCCTCTCCCACTGATCAATATAAATAGATTTAACAAAGCAGCCAGGAGGATCCTTTACATAATTTAGGGATTTAAACTCAGTGAGGTTCAGTCCCTATTTCATTCAGAGTGAAATTTAAAGCCTTAGAGAACCTCTAAGACCTCACACAATCACAATCCTCTCATCCCACAGCCCTCAGTCCTCAGCTTCCACAGTCCTGTAAAATCCCGACCCTGCCCCTTCTCTTGCCCACCATACTATGGCTTGCTGCCCTTTTGGGATATGACAGGCATGCGCCTACCTTGAGGCCTAATTCCTCCTTCTGCCTGGATTTCTCCTTCCCTGATATACATCATGAATTCAATCTTTGCCTTTAAAAGCTGGAACGTGACTTCTCTTCCTCCACCCCTTATACTTTTACTCCATCACAATTATTATCTTTAACAGAGTATATCATTCATTCATTCATTCATATGTCACTTACTTATTTCTTTCTGGTGTCCTGAGAAGACTCCCTCTTTCTTTTCCAATGTATCCCAAGCATCCAGAACCTGCCTCAAGGTGCACAGTGCATCTGTCGAGTGAATGGGAAGACCTTCCCTCAAAGAAATGTCAAGTCATTTAACTCTGCATCGTGTTACTAGCTCCAGATCCATTTCTCAAACTACCAAAGTCAGGTTTGAAACTGTTACATTGTATTGGTTCGTCTCTGGAAGGGCCACAACATACACGGACAAACCCACCAGCTCCAAAGGCTGCAGTCTCTGCTGCTTTCTGCATTTATTTCGATTTCTCAGCTTTTCCTGGCCAGGCCTTTCCACGGAACACTGAAGAGCACACCAGTGTGGCACAGTTCTTAGCATGACACCTGGGGATAGTTTCTATTCTGTTTACTCCTTTTCACTTTGCTCTATTTTTTCCCCTTCCCATTCTGCTCTGTTCTCGAACTTTCAATATTGGCCAAACCCCCTAAATTAATTTCATGAGCTGGAATTTTGTCTCCGAGTGTTGTTTTGGGGGGAGTCCTTCAAACTACCTTCAAACTCAATCCATGTGTTATGCTACTCATTCCATTGTTTCCAAATTTTTGTTCCTTAAAAAAAAAAAAAATCAGTGCGATTAACCTTCAAGCATCCAGACGCTAATCATTCTGATAATTTGTGACAAAATTCTAGAGTAAATGGCTCAAAGGAACTGGATGCTGAGATCCAAGCTCTGCATTGCTAAGTTGTTTCCTAAAAGGTTGGCACCCCTGTCTACCCGCACAGGAAGTTGAAGTCCCCCACCACACTCATCTTCCTGTGTAAAGTTCTACTTGCTAGAGTTTCCTTTTCCCCCCTTTTCCCACAACTCTAGTATTTATATTGAGTTCTCTGTAAACTTTGGGTCTAGGTCTTTTTCCAGCTCTTTCCTGCTCTGAGAGAGATCCAGCTGAGGTGCTCTGTACACTTCTCGTGGAGGACATTGAGATTCCTTTCCGAGGAGGGTTCATGTTTGTGCTTGACTGCAACCAACCTCCAGCTTTGTGAGGGAGCTTAGTGTCAAGTGAAGTGCTGTCTGGAGGGTGGACATAGAGGTTATTGCGAGGCTGAAAGATGCTAAATACATCCTATTCTTTCATCTATCATCTATCTATTATCTAATTTCATGAAGGCTTTATTATGACCTCATAAGCATCCTTTTTATTTTCAGTATGTCTTGCAGACAAGCGAAACCCCTAAATTACTTTAAAAAGCCTTGTCCTTCCCAAGGAGCCTCTGGGTGAACTATACATGGAAAATAAATAAATCCACTCTTTCTAGACATAGAACAGGCCAAGTTTTCTAAATCCAGAAATATAAAGTCTGAAATGCTCTAACATCTGAACCACATTGGACCACTTGCTTGCCACAGCAGATGGAAAATTCCACACCTGACCTCTTGCGGCAGGTCACAGTCAAAACACAAGCAAACTAAGAAGACTGTGTAAGGCCACCTTCCAGCTGCATAGGTGCGTGGGAAACACAGACAGATTTTTGTGTTTAAACTTGGCTCCGAGCCTCAAGATATTTTTCTAGCATATGCAAATATTCTAAAATGTGAAAAAAAAGGAAATATGAAAAACTCCTGGCCCCAAGGATTGTAGAAAAGAGTTACTCAGCCTGTAACCTAAAAAAATTATTTGTTATTATGGGTGCACACACATGTTCAGGTGCCCTGAGGTCGGAGGACAACTATATGGAGTCAACCTGTAATCTCATGTCTCAATTCCTTTTTATGTTAGAACTAAGCATACTCAGTCTGCTTCCAGGAAATTGACATATTGACGAATGTGATCAGATGCCACATGATAGCAGAGCTGCAGCTATGTTTTCTGGAAAGGCTGGTCTTAAAAGCAGCCCTTGGGCTTTGCAACTACACTCATGATGAAAATAACATGCAATCGCCAGAAAGATGGTTCAGTGGGTAAAGGCACCTGCACCATGCCAGGAGACCTAAATTCATTCCCCAGAACTGACCCCCTGAAAGCTGACCTCTGACCTTCACATGCATGCCACTGCATGATCATGCCCCCACGCGTATATGTATGACTGCACACAAAATAAATAAAAATGTAGTAAAACTATTTTTTTTAAATAATAAATAACACTTGAACTTCTGACTTTGGGGCACAAATTGCAAATGAGTGTCACCTTGAACCACCAAGCATGCCTGTGTGGTGTGTTCAGGAGGGGGGCTAGTCCGACTGAACTGTGGTAGTGAAAATTCCTGACTCAGTGTAAATAATTTCACTGTTATAAAACACAGATTTAGACCTTTGCTGACATCCTGAATTCTTGAGGGTTTCTGAGTCCGGCTCATGCCTGTTTAAAAAGTTCTTATGCAAGCAAGATCCACTCGGTGAGGCCTGGAGGCCACAGAGACCTAGTCTCTGCAAAGAAACCTCACCCTTCCTCCAACACACCAAAAAGGCCCTCCCTTAGAAATCAGCTTAGTGCATTGTGTCCATGGAATTTTCCAGGTTGAAATGCACCTATTTATGGGTGATACTGACCACTTCACCAGCAGAACTTAGCCTTGCCTTGAACATATTTTCAGATCCTATGCAACCCTGAAGAAGCAGTTGGGGATGGATTTGGCATCCTCCTCACTTCCTGTCTGAGAGGGAGCAGCTCCCAGAGACCATTTGCTCAGCTGTCACAGGGAGGTTGCCATGGGTTGGAATTCACTTAGTGTTAAGTATGCTGTTATGCCATAGACAGTGAGGAAGAGGGAGAGGCTGTAGATGACCCAAGAAAAAGAGTCATCCTGTCCTCTGAGCAACAGAGCAGGCAAGAAGGTGCAAAATGGGATGTTGTGGGTATGTTCTAGGATCTGCTGGGAAAGAATCTGGAGGGATTATAAACGTATCATTTATTGAAGATGATTTGAAGAGTCTGAGCCTCCAGGTCTCAAAACTGTTAGTAAGCTAAGCTTTCAGATCCACAAAGGTGAGTATTCCCAAGTACATAAAGCAGAAGTCAGCTGTATGCACTGTTAGCACAGTGGGGTTCCTTTGAGAATTTCAGGAATGAAAAGGATGTGGGGGAAATGCATATGTCACGAAGTTTATTGGATGTCTGCGACATGCAGTGTTACAAAGCAGAGTGAAGGTTAGAAACGTGGACAGTATCTTTGGCCAAACATAAGGCGCCAAACAGTATCTTTGTTGTTGTTTTGAGGCAGGGTTTCTCTGTGCAGACCTGGTTGTCCTGGTACTCACTATGTAGACCATTGAGCGGGCCTCAAACTCACCTCCCTAGTGCTGGGATTAAAGGCCACCATCAGGACTCTGGAGTACACAGCACTCTCTTAAGGCAGGACTGCAGAATGATTCTTTGGAGGAGGGGCCAGTGTCCCCAGAGTTTAAGAAATGAGCACATTCTGGTTCACAGGCAAATCAAGGAGTCTTAGGGTTTCTGTTGCTGTGATAAAACACCAGACAAGACCAGAAGCAGCTTGGGAGAGAAAGGGTTTATTTCAGCTTAAAGTTCCACACCACTGACTATCCTTGAAGGAAGTCAGGGTGGGAAATCGAGGCAGGAAACTGGGGCAGGAACTGAAGCAGAGGCCATGGAGGAGTGCGGCTTACTGGCTTGCTCCTCCTGGCTTGCTTAGCCTGATTGCTTATGGATCCCAGGACCACCAGCCCAGGGCTCCACCCACAGAGAGCTGGGCCCTCCCACACCAGTCACTGAGGAAAACACAGCACAGGCTGTGTCCATAGGCCCATCTGGTAGGGATGTTTTCTCACTTGAGGTTCCTTCTTCCAAAATGACTCTAGCTTGAGTCAAGTTGACATAAAACTAGCCAGCACATATCGATTCTTGCCTTCTGAGTTGACAGAGCCAGGTTTCCCTTCAAAGGAATCCTCTAGGCCTGTGGCAAAGACAGAGAGTTGCAGCAGGGCCTCCTTCCCAATGTGGTGCCAAATCCTGTGACCTCAGCTCTGAGGTTCAGGCCACTGACCCAAACAGCCTGTGGGGGATAAAACCGATAAACCCAAAGCCCAAGCAAACAGCTGTGTGTTGGCACAGTCCCTGCCCCTCAGAGGATGGGGTGAGAGAGATTCAGAGATCTGAGGCCTCACTCACCCCACACTTTCTGCTCCCACTGTTTGAAGCTACCAAGGTAACTACCTCCAGTGCCCAGGCCAACCCGAGGGGCAGCAGGACTCCATACCGCCACCAGGGGGCAGCTCTGCCGCGCTCCCACGCAGCAAGGACAACAGCTAGCCACTTTCTTGACCCGGAGAAGGGAGGAATCTCACTTGATACTGAGTGGCTGTTCTGCCCACCTCTGGTAAAGACTTCTGCCCTCCAGTACTAGCCTGAGAGTGGGGGTGGGATGGGATGGAAAAATTTCCAGTCCTGGAAAAAAGACAGGGCTCCAGGAGACCCAGAGCTGGGGACCAGGGAGGAAAGAGGATGCACAAGGCTAGAATTGGGGTTCCATACTGGGAAATTTCAGGACGGAACAGCTAAGGGGCGCGGGGCAATAGGTATCTTAACTAAAGCAAACAAAACAGGCGGAGTGTTCAAAGGTGGGGCTTTAGTGACGCTTACCCAAATCTCTGTTTCGTTCCTACGGCGATCCCAGTGGGTTGTGGCGCTCTGATCTCGGGCAAATCTCCACATTTCCCCGAATGGAAATGCCACATTTTTTCAAACACGTCCAGGGAAGAGCCCTTTAACTAAACCTTTGGGGCCAAACTTAGGGACGATGTTACAAACGGAACGCGAACTCTCATTCCCCGGACCCTGTAGGACAGACAACTTGAAGACCATGCAAATCTTGAGCAGAAAGACGGCTGTAATTTAATCCTCTAGCGTTATTAATGCCTTGCGAAGAAATCTTCCTGTAGTTCGTCTTCAAATACGTTGCCACGCAGCAACACTCAGCGCTGCGAAAACCGTGGTGTTTATTTAGATAACGGCCGAGTACTCACAAAACTTAAACGTTCGATGTAAAAAGTGGACATCTTGGTAAGGACGCTTGTCTGCACCAACAAAGCGCTCGCTGCCTGATTAACAGGGTTGATAAATGTTGGCGCAGGTTAATCGGAGCCCATTACAATAATTAGATGGTCCAGCCATACATCAAACGAGAGGCAATGAAAAATAACGCGTTCGGACCGTGAGGCATTCTCGTAGATCTTTCAAAGACCTCAAATAGACTTTACGGGCCATTTATAAGTGGAACTGGTGGTTCGCCATTGGAGAGAACCTGATGGGGCAAAAGTTTATTTGTAAGACTCTGTGATGAATACCAGTTGGAACAAGTCGTTTCAGGAAGTAAAAAAGTACTTGGTTGATGAAATGACATACACAAGAGTATCTGAGATTGTTCCTCGAAAAAGCCACTGAATTTTTACTCGGTTCTTGGCAAATGGCCATTTTAATCAGAAAGTTAAACTTCTGAGGCCAAGTTCCCTCTTTGACATAAAAGCATCTCAGGAAATGCGAACATCCAGAAAGCCAGGCTGTGAGAAGGAATTCGAGTTACACAATCATTCGGATTTTCCACCAGCCAAAACAATTAATTTAGCTGGTGATAAACACAGGTATCCTTAAAACAGAATCATATTTGAATTATTCCCACTAGCTTGCCACCTGGAAGAAAAAAAAAACGAATCGAGTGGAGCTGAATTCCATATTTATAAATAAATTCGTTTCTTTTCTCAAAGAGGGTAAGAAATATTTAATGTATTTTCTAAAAAAATTTAAAAAGTTGATCTCAAAGTACGTCTTTGCCTTTTCCTTCCCAGCACCAGTCCGGCCTGAGCAGCACTGTATGTGTGTTATAATTCCAGCGTTTAGAGAGTGCTGAGAAATGCTCACCAGAACATACCTTTTATTGAAAAATATAGCGCTCCTTTTTCTAACATGGTAACAGTTTTTTTTTTAGTTGCTCCTAGGTGCAATTTCCGTGTGCGTGTTTGAGTTTTCACTGAAAATTTCTATTTCTTTCCCTCATTCAGCCATTGCTTGCTCTATTCCCATGGAATTTGTGCGACCCTCTCATTAGAGTGGCTTAGTTTAGCTGTCAAGTCTCTAGGGCATTCAATTGCAGATAAACGACTAAAACGCCAGCCTAGCCGCATTTTTATTAACAGATGGCGGAAAACAAACGTCTTTGGAGAAGAACCGAAGGGAAAGGGTTAAAGGGTCAATAAACAATTATTACCGTGCTGAAAATGGGGGGGAGATTTCTCATCAGATTCCACAGGCAGAGGCTGGCCCAATCCAGGGGAGCTGGGACACCCCACCAGACTCCCCACCCCACCCCACCCCCCGCTCGGTATTTCAGGGACCACCTCACACACAGAGTAGTTGTCCCCCCGCGGGACGGCTCCCACAGGCCACCGAGTGGTCCCAAGCGAAGTGTCCCCGGAGCGCTTCTGATGTTAGGGCTGAGGGCTAAATCCGTTGAAGCAGACTGACTGGGGGCTCGAACTCGCGCAGCCTCCGGGTCCGGATGGCCGCTGGCTAGGGCGTGATAGAGGATATCCGAGACCTTGGCAAGAAATAGCGGGGTTCGGCGTCCAACTCTCGCTGCTGCCCCTCCTGCGGGTGAACTTTCTCCTCCCGCACGCCGATTCTCTCGCCTTTCTTTCCCTTTCCCCCCCCCACCCCCCCGGGCCGCGCTCTGACGTGCAACACCATGTGACAGGCCCCCTTCTGCTATAAGCCCAGACAAGGTCCGCCCTCTTCTGGACTCAGCCCTGGCCTCGCCGAGCTCGGTTCCTAGACTCGCACACGCCCCTCGCCCTCCTGGGCGCCCGACACCGACTGGCCCTCGGGGGTCCCGCCACCCCCTCCCCGGCTGACCCGGCCAGAGGGAACCGCGGAGGAGAAGGTCAAGTCAGGCTGGCACAGCCCGGCGCACCCGGAGCCCCGGGGAGGGAGCGCAGACACCGCGCGCGCAGCAGCAGCCGGAGTCGCCGCCGAGGCCAGGCGCGCGGGGCTCCGCCGCGGTTCCAGCCCCTCCTTGCAGCGGCGCGTCCCAGCGTGGCGTCCCCGTTCCTAGCCCGCCGCCCCGGGGCCGGCCTGGGGAGCCGAGCGAGCCGGGAGCCCGGCGCCCCTATGCGCCGCCGCGCCGCCGCGCCGCCCCAGCTATGACCCTGAGCACGGAGATGTCCGATGCCTCCGGCCTCGCCGAGGAGACAGACATCGACGTGGTGGGGGAGGGCGAGGACGACGACGAGGAGGAGGACGATGACGACGAGGGCGGCGGCGGAGGAGGCGGGGGCGGCGGCGGCGGCGGCGGCGGCGGGCCCCGGTTGCCCGGCTCGGCCCAGCGGCGGCGGCGGCGGCGCTCTTACGCCGGGGAGGACGAGCTGGAGGACCTGGAGGAGGAGGAGGACGACGACGACCTGCTGCTGGCCTCGCGGCCCGCCGCGTCCCCCGCGCCTCCGGGCCCTGCGCCCGCATCGGGGACCGGCCCGGGAGGTTGCAGCGGCCCGGGAACGGGAGGCAGCTCGGGGGGCGGCGCGGGCGGCGGCGGCGGCGGCGGCGGCGGCGGTGCCAAGAACCCCCTGGTGAAGCCGCCCTACTCGTACATCGCGCTCATCACCATGGCCATCCTGCAGAGCCCCAAGAAGCGCCTGACGCTCAGCGAGATCTGCGAGTTCATCAGCGGCCGTTTCCCTTACTACCGGGAGAAGTTCCCCGCCTGGCAGAACAGCATCCGCCACAACCTGTCGCTCAACGACTGCTTCGTCAAGATCCCCCGCGAGCCGGGCAACCCGGGCAAGGGCAACTACTGGACGCTCGACCCGGAGTCCGCGGACATGTTCGACAACGGCAGCTTCCTGCGGCGCCGCAAGCGCTTCAAGCGCCAGCCGCTGCTCGCCCCCCACGCCGCGGCCGAGGCGCTGCTGCTGCGGGGCGCGGGGCCGGCGGGGGGCGCGGGGGACCCGGGCGCCGCGCTCTTCCCGCCGCCGCCGCCGCCGCCGCCGCCCGCCTGCGGCTACGGAGCCTACGGCTGCGCCTACGGCCTGCAGCTGCCGCCCTGCGCGCCGCCCTCCGCGCTCTTCGCCGCCGCCGCCGCGGCCGCCGCCGCCGCCGCCTTCCACCCGCACTCGCCGCCGCCGCCGCCGCCGCCACCGCCGCCACCCGGGGCGGCCGCCGAGCTGGCGCGGACCGCCTTCGGCTACCGGCCGCACGCGCTGGGCGCCGCCCTGCCCGGCGGCCCGTTGCAGGCGGCTGCAGTCAAGGCGGGAGGCCCGGGCGCCGCGGCGCTGGCACGCTCGCCTTTCTCCATCGAGAGCCTCATCGGGCGCAGCCGGGGCCCCGCGGCCGCCGGTGTGCAAGCCTCGGCCGGGCCGGCTAGCGGGACCGCACCGGGACCGGGGGGCGGAGGCTGCGCGGCGCAAGCGGCTGTGGGCCCCGCTGCCGCGCTCACCCGCTCGCTCGTGGTCGCCGCTGCGGCCGCCGCCTCGTCCGTGTCGTCGTCGGCCGCGCTGGGGACTCTGCACCAGGGGACTGCGCTGTCCAGTGTGGAGAACTTTACTGCTAGGATTTCCAATGGTTAGAAACGCCGCCGTTAGCGCGCGTGAGAGAGCGAAGGTAGGACTCCCGGCTCCTTTCTGCGGATGGGTGGTTGGTTTCGTTCGCCCCTCCGGGCCCTCCGGCGACCTCGCGCCCCTAGTTTCGGCGCTTCGGATTCTTGGACCAGACTGTGCTGGGGCGACAGCTGGGGCGCCGCGCAGTTTGGCTCAGCGGGTCCCTCTATTTATGCAAAAATCGCCCTATGCTGCAATCCTGACTTGGGGTGGGAAGGAAGAGGGTGTTAGGGGGGAGTCGCTCTGTTTTGGCACTAGGGGCTTCTTTGACTTTTGACAAATTGAGAAAAAAACCAACTCAAAAACATCAAAACTAAGCCTTTTTGAGGTATAGAGAGTCTCAGGTCCAGGCGTTAAAACAAAACAAATCAATAATGTTTATATGAAGCTCATACAAAACTAGTAAAGGTCTCCAAGAAATGCCTTTATTTGCTCACACTTGTTTGGTGTACTTTTTCACGGAAAGGAAAAAAAAATGATTAACATGTTTACACAAGAAACAAGTCAAAATCGATCATTTCTTATTTTAACCTGTGTTTTGTATCATAATGGACATGCGGAATTTTTATTTTGTACTTACAGCGTATTCTTTACAAGGAGTATTGTAAATTTTACTGGCAATTATTATTGTACTATTCTAATGTAAGATTTTTACACCTTTTTTCAGAAATAAAATGCTTAATTTTCAAAGAAAAGCCAACTAAGTAATTGGCTGAATTGTCCATGTCTTAGTTTTTTTTTTTCTGTTAAGGAAAAAAAAATGTCTTATAGATAAGTCCAAACTCAGTACAGAATCTACTTAAATATTTCTTTCAAAGAAAGCCTAACGTAACCACAATAGCACGATGCCATAGTTTTTCATTTAAACTTTCCAAGTCAGAACCATCGCAGATTGGAGCTTATGTTTCAGTGACTGCAAATGAAGGCAGGTCCTTTGCTAGATAATTTCCAAGTCTAAGCCGTGCCCATCTTAAAGATCAACAAGACATTTTGAAAGTTGACGTTTTAGTCACCCTAAGATAATTTAATAGGAGTGTTTGATTTTATTTGTGAAATTCCCGAGTTAATTTCTGCTCACTTTTCAGCACAATGTTGAAAAAAAAAAAAAAAAAAGCTCAAACAGTAATGAAAGTAACACAGCAGAGGCAGTTTCTAGTTTAAAATTTTAACGGCAAAAAGAGATGCCCAGATTATCTGTTTAAAGTGTTAAAAGTCCCGGATAAGCAAATATTTGCACTTGTAACATGAATTGTATGTGAATGTTCTAGCACTTAAGTTAAAAGTGGATCCAGGAATTGCACAGATGAGTTCTGAGCGCAAAGGCAAATTTACTGAAATTTTAGGTTAAATGAATAGCCTAAGAGTAAGAAATTTGTCATCTATACTAGAGTATATGGCTCAAAGATTTAAAGATAGAGCACGTTGGGTGTTTATTGAACTAAATAAGCAATCTGGGTGATTTAGAGTACCCCTTTTCAAATTTTAAGTCTTTCATTGTTGATTACATTCAACATCTAGTTTCTGAGAGAAGCCAAGTCTTGATGAGTGTAGATGGTACTGTGAGCTCTGGTTGTAACCGATTTATCCGTAACACATAATTTGAATGCTTCGGGTCAGCAGGTTTTCAGTGGACATTGAATCTGTTTATTCAGTTTCTTTAAAATGTGGGTAAGTGTCCACACTGTGGTATCTGAAGACCTACAGATTTAACCTATCCAATTCATGACATGTGCATTATAGGCCAGTACTGTGCCCAGCTGGTCACTCTTAGTGCCTTGTCCCTTCCTCCACACATCTGAGGAAGGAAAAGACTAAAAAAAAAAAAAACAAAAAAACAAAAAAAAAACTCAAGATGAAAGTTATGTTTTGTTTTGTTTTCCCCCTAAGAGATATGTGGAAAAAAGTAAAGAAGTTAGAGTGAAAACACTCACACCGAAACGTACCACCAAATATATAGCAAATTGTAAATGAAGATCTTATATGCAAAGGCTTCTTGTACTCTAGCGTAGCTTTAAAGGAGAGCAGACCTCGGACCCCAGACCTTCTGCATCCCAAGAGTTCCTTTACAGAGGCATTCACAGGCGAGACCCAAAGGCATAGATACAGCGTCTTGCCTGCCTGTAGACTTGAGGAACGCACAGAGCGGACTTTCAGATTTGAAAGTTATTGCAAAGAGAGCCAAAAGCAAAACTGTGATTTTCCCCCCTTTTGAGAATGAGTGCGTAGGTGCCCCGAAAGCAGGGTACCACAGCTATGTCTTTCCTTCAGATTACGCATCTTTAAAAAGTACCAAGAGGAGCTCTGCCTCCCAGGCCGCCAGTGCACAAGGCTTGGAGCGACCCTGTCCTGGCCCTCAGGTCCTTGGCTGGGCTGGGCTCTCGTGTCACACTCTATGGCAGCAGACCGCAAACCCGCTTTTGATCTTGCAGTGAGGGCCTCCTGCTTGTCTCTTGCATCCCATCAAGTTCAGTCTCCTATCTGAGATTTGGGGGTGTGTAGTAGGTTTTACTTACTCAGCAGACCTGCGGGGGATAGTAAGAGGCCTTAAGGTATAGGCTCACATTGGTGCCGGGCAGAGGCTGGGTATAGGCCCAGGACTGGACCGTGGGCCTTGGACGGGTGAGCCAGGAGTGTGGGGCGCCAGGCTGTGCGGGCAAGCAGGTGCTGGAACAAAGGAAGCCGGGCTACCCAGGCCTTTGATGGGCAAGGATGTCTCC